TCCAGGGAGTAACAGCAGAGCAAGTGGCTAAATTTGGCGACATCTTGAAACAGATTATGAGTGAGACCAAAAAGAGAGGCAGTTTTGGAGCCCAATCTGATCAAAATGCATCACCCCTTCCTAATTGGAAACCCTTTAGTCTGGGATTGCATCAGAGTAAAATCTTTATGCCAAAGCATCAAACAGTACATCTGGGGCAGACAGGAAATGTGGGCTGAGGATTACCCATCCCTGCAAGCCAGCAAAGCTTTAGGGGAAACTTTTTTAGAACACTTTCTGCATGTGATTTAATCCACTTAGTAATTTAGGCTGTGGATTATTTATTTTAAGAATTCAGTTAGTTAAATAGCATTAAGAACTTCCTAATATCATAAAATGACCCTACAAAATACAATCTGTAAATACAGCACATGTAATTGTATAATACAAAGTAAAATTAAAAGGCCTTACTAGAAATAAAATAGGCAGTAACAAAGTGAAGATAGCAGAGGGAAATATATGAGGGTACTTGAACTCTTGATCATTAAGCAAGGTATCTATTGATATTTAATTTTTTTAAATTATTGATTGATTTGAGAGAGAGAGAGAGAGAGAGAGAGAGAAACATGGATTTGTTTTTCCACTTATTTGTGCATTCATTGGTTGATTCTTGTATGGACCCTGACCTGGAATTGAACCCTCAATCTTGGCATATCCAGACAACTCTCTAACCAACTGAGCTACCCAGCCAGGGCTGATATCTATTAATGTTTGAAAAAACACATTTCAGATAACTGTATCCACTGACCTCTTTTTTTTTCCTTCCTATTATAAAATGTCGACCCAGAGGCAGCCAAAATAACTGAACAAATAATGAAGATGACAGTGGGAATTACCCCGGTGTGCTGTTAACATAACATGTACTCAGAAATACCTAGGACACAGCAATTTTCATGCCAGCTATCCAAATTGAACTTAGTAAATTTTCAACAACTGCACTGACATAGCGTCTGGCATTTATAATGGAGTTTTCTTATTTTAAAGCACCATTATTCATGGAACGCATACAAACGTACTCCCTAATAATTCTGCACTGCTGAGTCCCAGGCTATACCTGCCACAAGATTAGTATGCTGAGTTTAGGTAATGAACTTAAAACTATGACTTGCCCTTTAATTAGAGAACTTTAGGCTGAGCTCCAGGCTGCTTTCCATTTCCCCTTAAGATAAGATACCTATTTTAAAAGGGACCTTTCCACTAGTATATGACCACTAATTGAACTTCCAGTAGTGTTGTGCAAAGATATCTGGAATTTGGAGTCAGGGAGCCTCAATAAATCCAACTGTGAAGGGGAGGTTTATTAAGCAAGATGGTGAGATCAGTCATCTTTGAGCAATTAAACATTGTAAGTGATGTTTGCTGAGACAAGATATAATAGAATTTTGTTCACAGCTGGAATTATTGAGGCTACTTGACTCCAAATTCCAGAGATCTTTGTACAACACTATTGTAAAGTTGTACCTAGATGACTGTAAATATGTAGTTTAGTGGGGACTGGGAGAGAGTGGAAAAGCAAGCTTGTACACAAATTGCAATATAATAAAATCTGTCTTGTCCTAGCTGGCTTGGCTCAGTGGATAGAGCATTGGCCTGTGTACTGAAGGGTCCCAGGTTCGATTCCAGTCAAGGGCACATGCCCAGGTTGCAGGCTCGATCCCCAGTAGGGAGCATGCAAGAGGCAGCCAATCAATAATTCTCTCTCATCATTGATGTTTCTATTTCTCTCTCCCTCTCCCTTCCTCTCTGAAATCAATAAAAAATATATTTTTAAAAAATCTTCCCGTACCTCGATATTGCAAGTCAGTTTTTGGACTGTGTATCCTAGAACTGTAGACCTAAGAGATACTTTCAGAGCCACACACACTGACTGAGCATTTGGTGGATACCCTCTGTTTCTGCCCAATGAAAATAAAATTTTTGAGGCCTATTTTCAAATATAAAGGAGAGGGAATTAAATTTATTCCATATGGCATTGGACAAGAAGATAAAATTAAGACAAATGGAAGGAAACACATGAAGATTTTGTTCCATTTAACTGCTCCAACAATTAAAACTCTACCAGTATCATGGGCTGATTCAGGTAGTAATAAAAATTTTTATCCCAAGAGAAGGAAAAAGCAGAGGATGGAATTGCACTTTTCAAAAATATTTTTTAGCCTGGCTGGTGTGGCTCAGTGGTTGACCATCGACTCATGAACCAAGAGGTCACTAGTTCAAATTCTTTGTTGTGGGCTCGATCCCCAATAGGGAGTGTGTAGGAGGCAGCCTATCGATGTTTCTCTCTCATAGATGTTGCTATCTCTCTGCCCCTCTCCCTTTCTCTCTCTCTCTAAAAATAAATAAAAACACATTTTCAAAAATATTTTTGAGGAGAGTCAGGCATCCAATTGTAAATTGAATTAGATGACCTTCTAAATCCTTCCCAATGCAAAGATTCTGTTTAATTTGTATATCATCAGTCTATTGGAATCATCTAATGGTTAAAAATGCATTCTATGCCAATAACTGGAAACAAAAAGAGAAATATTACACATCTAGTATTAAAACATAGTGGCTGACCCCTACCATATTATCTCTGCTTGTCATACACACACACAAATCAGGTGCCTGACTCAGCTGCTTGGCTTATCCAACTATTTGCAGGATGATGGGTTGCTATGATCACCACGTGGACATCAATTGTTTCTTTGTTGTTTACTCCAGTGATTGCTCCAAGATACACAGTGGAACTGGCCTGTGGTTTTGGAGTCACAGTCCTGCTAGTGGTGATTCTCATTGTTGTTTACCATGTTTACTGGCTGGAGATGGTCCTATTTTACCGAGCTCATTTTGGAACAGATGAAACCATTTTAGGTGAGTAATGGGAGTTTGATGTAAATCTCTTCTAGTCATCTTTACAAAACATGTTGGCTCGATAAAATCTAGATTTTCCTGGAACATTAAATCAGACTACCTTTTGTTTCAGCCCTTACTACTGAAAATCTTTCGAATACATATTATTAGTTTTTCAATATGGAACATAGTCTAGATTGGCACTGTCCACATAGAACTATAATTCAAGTCACAAATGTCATTGAAATTATTTAGTTGTCATATTAGAAAAGGGAAAGTTTTAACTTAAGGTGTTCAAAATATTAACATTTTAGCTTGTAATTAATATTAAGTTAATAGAGATACTTTAGGTACTAAAAATCTTCAAACTTCAGTATGTATTGAATCTTACCCTTACAGTGTATCTCAGTTCAGACCAGCTTCATTTCAAGTGCTCAATATCTGCTTTGGTTGTGGCTACTGTCCTAGATAGTGCAGGTCCACACTCTGTACTCAGGGCTGATTCATGCACCAGAAGCATCAGAATCACATGGGAACTTATTGAAAGCAGTATCTTAAACCAAACCCTTACTCTGAATTAGAATCTATATTTTAACAATATTCCTAAGTTGTTCATGCACTCGTTGAAGTTCAAGCAGTACTGTTCTAGTGTGTAATTTCCTGGTGACAGTACGTTTGTGGCGGGGTCACAGAACCTATGTTTTTAATGAGAGATTATTTTTATAATTAGGCAACATTGGGAAAGGTGGGTTTATTGAATCTACATATATTTTTAATTATAGTTATTTTCAGGTATAATTAGACCATTTCTAAAAGGTTTGCTGAATTTATAATTCTAACATATTAGTGAGTGACATAATAGTACAGTAGACATATTCTGCATGGTATTAATTGCCAGCACCTATGATTGACTATTTACTTCCTGGTTCTGTTAACTCATAATTGAATGAACCAAGCCTCATTGATTGCCCACCATAGAAACTGAACTCAGTAAGAGGAGAGTAGAAGACACATCAGATAAAACTCGTAATTACACCTTAAAATAGCCATTTTACCTGGAAAAATCACACTGAAATTTGTCAGATAATTCGTACTTGTAAAAAAATGAGAATGTCTAATTTGAAAAAGTTTGATTTAAGAAAACTTTCCTAATTTTTATTGGATCCATGTTCTTTTTTCTAGATGGGAAGGAATATGATATTTATGTATCCTATGCAAGGAATGCTGAAGAAGAAGAATTTGTATTGCTGACCCTCCGTGGAGTTTTGGAGAATGAATTTGGATATAAGCTGTGCATCTTTGACAGAGACAGTCTGCCTGGGGGAAGTAGGTATTCAGATGAGTACAAGTGATGCTACCCTGCAAGGCAAAGGGGATCATTAGCTATAGAGTCTGGATGAGAATTTTGACACTATGAACTCTATGTTGGCAGTTTGGACTTTTAATGTCCAATCATGTCATACAATAGACAGAGAATCCCTAGAAATAAACTTCATCATAAGGTGTAGATTATTCAAATGCAGTTTATGGTATACAATATTCCCTCTTTTAAGTTTTAAAAACTTAATTTCAGAAAAGTTTGGATGCACAGTGGATTAGGGCTCTATAAAATGTCATAGATTTAAACATCCTTTTTACTCACATTTAGATTTTTAGAAGGTTTAGCTAATCTGCATTAAATTTTCCCAGAATGTTTCTACAAAGACTGAGTTTAAACAATTTTACAAAGACTGAGGTTTACCCAATTTTACAAAAATTGAGTTGCAGAATAGAGTGCGTGGAATTTTTCTTTATATTCCTCACTGATAATAATTAGAATATTTCCCTTTGGCATTTGCTAATTTCCCTTTCCTCACTCTTGTTTTCTAGCAAATCAAAGCCACTCAAATTCTCCTTTCCCTTGTGTCAGTTTCTTCCTTTCTCTCAGCTTACATGTTTCAGATATAGTTTAAAATTTTACAAAAGTCTGATGTATTCTAGTAGGTTAAAAAGAAGGAAACTTCAATTGCTGAATGTTTTAACATAAAAGTACATCTCTAATTTTCAGGTCCACCCAGTAACATATAAGGTGATGGTTCATTTGAGTCTGTTTTATAAATACATAATAGCATCCATAAGCCCACTATTAATCTTTGTACTGTTAAAATGTATGCAATGTCTCTAACCTTCAGCACAACAAACTAATTTTCTCCCCCTAAAATACTGTTTACATTAATCACTAATCACGTCACATTTTTTTTAAATGTCATATGAATAATTGTGAATAGCCTCAATTTAAGCCTCCTACAGAATACACTGGTTTATTCTCATGTTGAAATAGCTGGATCACTTATCTTCCCAGTCATCATCCAAAAGTCCATTTGCTTGTGTTCTGCAGTGGACATCTCTTTTAGTATAATTTTGCCAGGAATGAGGGCTTGATTATATAGTTACAGGATAAATTCCACTCATTTTAAGACTTAAAATTCTAAATCATTTACTCATCCATTTGTTCATCCAGCTGTTCAACAAATATTGATCTATTGTGTAAAAAAAAATTATGTAAAGATTCACAGTATAACAACAATGTAAGACCCTCCAATAGGGGTTGATAATTCTTTGAAGAATTTAAGTTCTACATAATTACTCTTGCATCCTGCTTTGATGGTTGATCCTTGTGATCATTCATGTTTTCCCTGCTCTTCTTATTGAGACCTCTTTGCCTGTGGGTCTCTTTCTATGCCTACACATGGTCAGCCTCCAGTAACACTACTTGGAGTAGACAATTTCTTATTCCTGGATTCACCTCCAGGCTGCTCATGCTATTTTAATAGAAAGTTTCCCCCCACTGCCTCTTTTTCTATGAAGATTAAGGAATAAAATGATGGCTTAGGAAAGTATGGTAAGTCATGAAATAGTTTTCCACAACACTAGTGCCTTCCCTGGAGTTGACTCCTATCTAAACCCCAGGTAAAGAGTTATACCATCCTTGGTAAGCAAGCTCAAGATGGATTATTCCCAAGAATGTAGTGGCAGGAACTACTCAAAGTCCCTGACAACAAAATAAAATTAAAGGTGCATTTCCATTTTCTTGCTCTCCCTTCTTTTCTGACCTGAAGAAAGCATTTGCCTGATAGTGAAGACAGACAGATCAGCCAGCAGCTGCTGAAACACATGGCTTCCTCGTAATGATAGGAGTTTAAGCAGAAAAATCCAGGGATTAATTTAGCCCCTGAGCAGAGAGTAGAATAGAAAGCTGAGCTGAGGATGTGATGCCAGCCAAAATGCCATTATATTGGCTAGATGTTTTTTAAAGTTCTTATTCAAATGACATTCTAGTTGGGCGTGTTTGGTAATAGAGAAGGACTTTAAAAAAAATGAAGATTCTTGCTCTTGCTGTTCTGTATCTGTGAAAATGAATTTCTATGATTTTTTACTCTCTGGTATATATATTACTAAATGCTCATGGGTCCTGGGGAGTTGATACATGGGTATCTGTGGGGAGAAGAAGGCTCAGGAGCCACTTTGGATGGGACCCAATATGCCACATGGTTTGAAAAAAAAAATTATTTCAGTACCACCCTTATATTCCTTGATGTCCCAACTCACGCTTTTAAAGACCAATGTCATGGAAGCATGTTTGGCTTCAGTTCTGTGTGGAATTCTTTTGGGGTTGGAATGTGCATATAGTTTCTATTCTTCCTGAGGAGAGTGGCATTTAGTGAGAAGTGTGAAAGGATCTAAGGATGAGGTTGTTCAAAGTGTTCTTGGTCAGAAGTTTCACCTCAACTCTCAGGCTGATGCCCTAAGTTTCCAACACTTGCTCCTCAATCCCCAGGCTTTTTGGGGAGTTCTTGGCCAACACTAATCCCCATGGTGTTTTCTTTCCCAGTTGTCACAGATGAGACCTTGAGCTTCATTCAGAAAAGCAGACGCCTCCTGGTTGTCCTAAGCCCCAACTACGTGCTCCAGGGAACCCAAGCCCTCCTGGAGCTCAAGGCTGGCCTAGAAAACATGGCCTCTCGGGGAAACATCAACGTCATTTTAGTACAGTACAAAGCTGTAAAGGAGACGAAGGTGAAAGAGCTGAAGAGGGCTAAGACGGTGCTCACGGTCATTAAATGGAAAGGGGAAAAATCCAAGTATCCACAGGGCAGGTTCTGGAAGCAGCTGCAGGTGGCCATGCCAGTGAAGAAAAGTTCCAGGTGGTCTAGAAGTGGAGAGCAGGGTCTCTCCTACTCATCTTTGAAAAATGTATGAAAGGGACAATGAAAGGGGTAAACAGAGGCCTGGGTACCCCAGGAAGGAAGAAACCTTCTTGATACCCAATGTATTGTTTCATGGACAGAAAACAATTCTATGGAAGCCTCCCCATAGGGTTAAATTCAGGGTGACTGGTTGTGTTTCCTCAGGCAATACTAAGATTTAGAATGATCATGCCACCAGTCTGTTGCCAGTGTTCAATGTCACTATGTTCTTTGCAGGTAAAGACTTGGATGATGTGAATTTTTTCTTCTGCATCTTCTCTATTACTGTTCTTACATGTTCTCTCTCTCTCTCTCTCTCTCTCTCTCTCTCTCTCTCTCTCTCTCTCGTTAACATTATAGGGCTGCCTTTGCCTATGGTTTGAAAGACCCCGTAAAGATAAGTCATCTTTAGGGTCATTATGAGTTTCCAAGTATAGTTTTCTTCTTCTTTTATTATTACTCATCTATTAAAAAGATAATCAGGGTCTGAATATACTTTAGCTGGATAAGGAGCTCTTTTGCTCATTCTGCTGTACCACAAGCCATCACAGTAAGACTGACACCCCTTGGACAATTCAAAGCAGTATTACTAAAAATTATTCTTATAATAATTGATTTAAAGATTCTTATAATTGATTTATAATTGCCTGCATTTTCTCCTATTATATCCCCATGTGCCCTCTAGCTCAGGTAAATGATGGCATATTTTTCAACTTGAAAAATATAATTTTTGCTATAGTAAACTTCTGACTATCTGTAGGTCAGCCCATGTTTATCATTCCATCTTCCCTCTCTATTGTAACTTGCTTATGTCGGCCACTCAGAGTTTACACGTGGCTCCACACTTGGTTCAGTCTGATAGGAAGTTTATCCTAATGGTGCTAATAGAGTGAGATAATGACAAATTTCTTTGAGGGTATTTTCTGGCTTGTGAGAAAAGAGCAGAGCAGGGTATTTGACCATTTATCTTTTAATCTCAGCCTTATTAATGTGAATATTAGGAAAGCGATTTCTCCTCGCTTGTTTCTCTCTTCTCATTTTAAAGTGTGGAAGTTAAACTCAGTGACCTTGAGAGCTGCTTTTAGCATTAATACTCTAAAAGGATTAACTGAATCCCTAGTATTGTCCCTATTTTATTTACTCACTCCAAACAAGTCAGCTGAAAGGTCACTGTCAATGTAACTTGTTTTAGTTTGTTTTTTAGTAAAGTTTCACAGTTCCTAAGACTTGGAAAAGTGAAAACTTAGTCTAGAGTTTACAGAGTGAAATATAAATACATATACATGTGTATATATTTATATATACACACAAAATTATATACATATGTGTATCTAAATTGCATATAGATACACATGAATTATATACGTACATATACACATATATACATACATGAATTATATTTGCATGTATGCATACATATATACAATATACACATATATACATATATATGCATATTACTTTAGTCATTAGCACAGTACTACAAGCCACTGGAACTCTTGTCCAATCTTTAAATTGTCTTTACTGTAATGCTTTTGTGTTAGTGTTTTCTACACATTAACATTATTTGTGATTTCACAGATCATAGTGGTAGCTGTTGTTAGTTCTTGCCTTTCCTAAATTAGTGCGAATAATTTACTCCTGCTAGAGCTGATCTGGGTTCAGTGGAATCTGTTGTGCACAGATCTTCCATAGTCACTGCTAAGCAGTAGCCAGTCCTCTGGCATTATTTGATCATCTACTATGTTTGAGGCACATATACTTAACAACTAAGCTATGTGAATCTCAGTGCTCAACTACTGGAGAAATAAATCTCTATTTGGACTATTGAGTAATAAAAAAGAAAAGAAAAAGTCTATAAATGAGCCTGAGTATCCTATGAAACACCATTATTCATAATTTAAGGAAATCCTTATTCAGTAGTATGAATGTTGTTAAGCACTTCTAAAACTATCTTTTATAGTTAAAAGTCCTTCAGCAGATTTTTTTATAGAGGAGTTATTGATTATTTTAGTAATAAAAGCATGACTATAAAACTGTTCTAGAGGTCATTCTGGAACCTAACATTTTTAGCCTTATTAATGCTTTTCCTTGCTACAAACCACAATTACTCCTCCTATCAATCCTTCATTCACAAGACCAGGAGAGACTTGACTCCAGATAAGCTTTGTATTTCAAATTCTTGCATTAGCTTTAGGTAAATGGGGGGGGGGGGAGCGCCCCATCACCAAGGGTCCATTTTCTTGCCAATACTGCATTCTTTTTGCACGTTTGAATTTACTATTTATCCTAAAGGCTGTTCTGTGCCCCTAGAAACATCTTGACATTTTCCCCCTATTTATATTCTTGTCTTTGGTACTGAGCTTTTCTAAATGCTAAAATCAAAAGCATCTCAAATTTCCATGATGTGTCTCATTCTAAGATAATTTTTCAAGACTTTTTGTTTGTTTTTTATGTCCCAGAAGATGCCTAATACTGAATATTTGAAGGAGATGGGGAAACATAATTTAGAAAGCAGGAAGAATTTTCTCTCTCATGTTAAAAACAAAACAAAAAAACACGTCTCTAAGGTTAAAAAAAAACCTTAATGGTTTCAGATATGGGATATAAAGACCTTCTGCACCCAAGTTAACAAAGGACCATGATATAGAATGTCTAATTACACAATAATATAAAATTTATTTAATTTTTTTCTGTATTATAACTTAGATGATTCTCCAGGATTCTAATAAACAAGCATTCCATTGTGTTGGGGAACAAAGCATCACTCCACTTGTTAATTATACATTTTCTTTCAATAGGTTTTAATATTTAAGATTATCTTTTTATTTTATTCATAAACTTTTGTATTTTCCATTTTTTATTTGATTTGTAAATTTGTTTATTTTAAAAATAAACCATTTATTTTCAGCTTTGAATTTTATTTTGTGCATGTGTTTTATGTCTTTATTTTCATGTTTGGGCATAATAAATAAGAATAAAAATAATGATACATGTAAAAAATATAAATTGCACTAATTAGGTTTCTCTTTTGAGAAATCTGAAAAAAATGGGAACTTCATCTCAAGAAAAATTTTTTACATGTGAGTAAAGGAGTTACTTAAGTAAAATGCATGACTCTAACATTCTAGGTGTGTGTGTGTGTGTGTGTGTGTGTGTGTGTGTGTGTGTGTTTAGATAGCCAGAGAGACAGGGAGAAAGAGGCAAGAGAGGGAGAGGCAGGAGGGAGAGAGAAGTTCTTTCAAAACAAAAACACAGTCTGTTATTTTTTGCTCAACTTGGAACTTGGGTAGTTTATAGAAATATCTTACATTTTATAGGCTTTATTGCAACCCCAAGGCAGTTGTTTTGAAATGAAATAAGTTAATTAATATTATGCTCTTAGTTAATAGAATATAATTTGCATGAATGAATCAAAAATTCATTTATATCACATTTCAAGTAAATCAGATAAATATTTGGAAATGATTTTCTTTTGAGTTAATAATATTAAATTCATAAAGACAAGGAAGCCTTCTTGCTTAAAATTGTTTTCCTATTCACTTACTCGAAGGATATTTATTGAGTTCTTATAACTAAACTGGTTAGACGAGTAAAAATTTTCCTACTGAAAAAGTTTTCACTTTCAAGGCTATCTCCAAAGAGTAGACTTAGGATCAATGGATGGGGATTATATGGAAACAGACTTCTTCTCAATTAGGAAATGACTTAACAGCAGACTTGAACAATAATGTATTTCATTATCTTTGGAGATGCTGGGGCCCCATTACTAGAGGTGTACAAGCAGAGACTTAATGAATCATATTAAGATTTTGCAAATGGGCTTTCCTCATTAGATAAGTGATGACGAGTCTGAAGTTTCTGCCAACCCTGGACATATTAAATGACCTCCTAGAACATTGTGGTGACTATTTAGTTTCAATAACAACAGTGTCTGTATCAGTAATTTGGTTATTGTGGCTACCTAGCTATTCCTGACCTTGTTAAAAACACTCAAGTATTTTCTTCAGTTATTCACTGATGTCACTAGGTCTTTGACACAAGTAAAGTCACGATATGATACTATTCAACAACTAGCCTGTCTTATTTCTCTATTTCTACCCAAGAGATAAAAAGTATTTTTAACAATGGTCTAGGTCACAGTGGTCTGCAAACTCATTAGTCAACAGAGCCAAATATCAACAGTACAATGATTTAAATTTCTTTTGAGAGCCAAATTTTTTAAACTTAAACTATATAAGTAGGTACATTGTTATTAGCTTAATTAGGGAACTCCTAAGGCTTAGGAAGAGCCACACTCAAGGGGCCAAAGAGCCACATGTGGTTCGAGAGCTGTAGTTTGCCGACCACGGGTCTAGGAGACTAAGTGTTTCAATAACATTCTTTATCCACATGTATTTTGAACTGAAAAGAAAGAATTTTTAAAACTTATAATTCATAAATTCACATACTAAGATGATTGTTTTTGCTAGACATTTACCTTTAGGTATCTCTAATTTGTTTAACAACCTTCCAAATTTGGACATACTTTATATATTTTATAGATGGATAAATTCATAATTAAAGATATTAAGATAAAAACAGATAATTGGAGAGATCAATATTTAAATTCAGATCTATCTTCCAAATTAGGTGGGCCCCCATATTTCATTACACTTCAAGTTTTAATAAAGAGAGAGAGACAGAGAGAGAGAGAAGTTTCTTACTGTTTCATACACCAATAACCTAGCCAAAGAACAAAATTGCAGGCCTAGTTTAATTGTAGGGGAATTTCAGAGAGGCTATAAATTTTAACAGCAGGAATCTTCTTCCTTGAAGAATTCTAGTCCAGAAAAATGATTTGAAAACCAATTTACTATCACACAAAAAGCCAATCTCATCATCCTATAGCCACACCTCATTTTTTTTGAGCCAAACAGGATAAAGACCTAATTTGCAACTTCCTCTCCAATAATCTTCAGCATTAAAATCAAAATAATTTGCATCCTCAGATGGGAAGTATTGACAATCTGTAAGATTTTAAAATATGCCATAAAGGATATAGCTTCTTTCAGAGTACCTTGTGAAGACCCCTAGGTACAGATACCCCCACACACACCTGAGAAGCATCTCCTACATCCACTCATCAAAGTCTGGAATTTAACCATATGTATCTATTTCTTTAGCATTTCCCTCTTTCAAATGGAAACCCCACACTTTTCAATGAATACTAATAATTTTTTTTTAAAGCCACATTCTCTCTTTTTTAGAGGATCTATGATACTGTTTTGTTTTCAACACTTGGATTTCCAGGGGCTACTTTGAAGTGTAACACACACACACACACACACACACACACACACACACATCACAAGTTCTTTGTGATGAAAAACTATCCATGTTGTTTTAAGGGTATATCGTATTTATCAAGAGACGGAAGAAGCAGTAGACATCCTATTCTCACAGTCTCAGGTTTATGAAAGGCGGGCTACATAAGATTCTGAGCAGAACTCGACAGAACAAAGAATTTACAAAACATGCTTGCACGTGCACATGGCCTTTGAAGATAAGTGATAGATTTTTCTCACAAGATTGAAACAAGAATTCTCAAAACACTGCTCTCTTGATAAATCCAGTTCAAAGTTCTTAAAAATTGCTCTTCCAATTTCCCTTCAAAATCACGTTAAATTCACTAATTGAAAAGAACTGATCTGGTAAGGAACATAGTTCCTTCATTCCTGTCAAATTCATCATGATCAATTTCACTGCAAACTTTCAATTTGTCCTCACAAGCTAAAATGTCTCTCCATGACTATTTCACCACTGGCCCATAAAGCATATGTACTCAACCTCATGGTATGTCTGTAGTACCTGTTTTCAGAGTTTCAACGGCTGTGATTTATACATTTGGAATTCTTTTCCTTCAGAAAATAACATTGTTTAAGCTCTTAAATCTAACAGTGAGTTAAGCACTGCTTTTATCTTGAGAACTTTCCTATTGGGATCTGTTCAAATCCACCTCAGTAACTATTAGAATTGAATGCTTTGCCAGAAGTCTTAATTAACTGACTGATTCTTACCTATTTTAAATGTTCTTGCCCGTTTAAGTTATTGTTAAACCACACACACACACAAACAAATTTTAAAAAAAGGAATTTGGGTTGACACCAAGGTCAGTACTATAAACTCTCTGATGTTGTATCCAAAAAATATTAAGTATCGAGATATATAACTGTGTGGATCTTAGAAGATGGTAAATCCCTTTGCTCTTTAAGGATCAGACAATGTCTGGAGCATTGTGCTCAGTCCTGTTCAAGATACTATTCTTAAGAAACACATACATAAACTGAATATTATACACAGGCAAATGCTAAAAGTAGGGAACAGACTTGATACCATGTCAAATAAGTAATAAGGTAAAAATCCTGAAGGTATTTAACCTAGATATGAGAATAAAATACAGTGAGATCACAATAGTTGCAATATTTCAAATATTTAAGGATATTGATCTAGTGCCACCAGATAAAAGTGATAGAGAAGAATATTTCAAACCAGGAAATATTTTACAAACAGAGCTGAAATGAGTTTCTAGTTTCAGAAGTGGTTAATTTCTCATCTTTGAAGATTTATTCGTTGCCTGTCCTTTGTAGGAGAGACAATGATGAGCTGAAATCTGTATATGTTTTCACTAGGCATTGTCCTATCCTTCCATTTTCCTGTAGATACGGTGGAAGCAGTCTTTGACTTCATTCAGAGGAGCCGAAGGATGATTGTTGTCCTGAGCCCAGACTATGTCACAGAAAAGAGCATCAGCATGCTGGAATTTAAACTGGGTGTCATGTGCCAGAACTCCATTGCCACCAAGCTCATTGTGGTTGAGTATCGTCCCCTTGAGCATCCACACCCAGGCATCCTACAGCTGAAGGAGTCTGTGTCTTTTGTGAGCTGGAAAGGAGAAAAATCCAAACATTCTGGCTCTAAATTCTGGAAGGCATTGCGGTTAGCTCTTCCCCTGAGAAGTCTGAGTTCCAGCTCTGGCTGGAATGAGAGCTGTTCTTCTCAGTCTGACATCAGTCTGGACCATGTTCAAAGGCGGAGAAGTCGTTTGAAAGAGCCCCCAGAACTCCAGAGCTCAGGGAGGGCTGCAGGTGCTGCTCCTGCTTCAGGCACAATGTCTAAACACAGAGGAAAACCTTCTGCAGCCTGTCGCTGCTGTGTCACCTACTGTGAAGGAGAGAGTCAACTTAGGAGCAAGAGCCGGGCAGAGATCCACACACAGCCACAATGGGAGACACACCTCTGTAAGCCTGCTCCCCAAGAGTCAGAAACTCAATGGATACAAAATGGTACCAGATTGGAAACCCCTGTTCCCCAGATCTCAGCCCTTGCTCTTCACCATTTCACGGATTTGTCTAATAACAATGACTTTTATATCTTATAATTACTATGTGGTGGGTGGTAGCTGTTGCCTCTACCAGCTCTTTTTGTATCATGAAACCATGGGAATAATTGACATTTTTATCAATTAATGGACAAGCAGATTGTCTTCCCCCTTTATTGATTTTATAAACTATTTATTTCTAGGAGACAAAAGACCTGAAGAACCTGCGTCCAGAATTATTGCCTCTAATGGCCTCAGAAGAGCACACTCTTCTTGGCCCCTAGAAGGTCAGTATATGCAAGTCACCTAAAGTCACCCCTGTCTTCCCCAATGGTTTAAAAATGAGCAAAGAATTTAAATGTTTTCTTTGAGCTTGTTGATCAACCTCTCATGTTATGAGTCAGTCAGGTGTACGTGGGCCATGACACTTACAAGGTATATATATCCAAAGGAACATTATGGAAAGGAGTTTATTCTAGTGGAAGCTGTAGGACTAAGGGCAACAGAAAACCTACAACACATTTTCCCTGGGAGAACCAAACATACCCACACAGGGATGCATGGTGTTCTCTGTCTCACTGTAAACTAGTGTTCTCTAAACTGCCTAAAGTTGTTAGCATCAATAAAGTTATATTTTTATGTGATTTCATTTGTACTAAGAAATTTTTACCCTTCTTTCTCTCTTCTCTACTTTTTATGGCTTTCGAATTCATATGTGAAGAGTATTTATTCCATTTCAGGAAATCAAGCTTTGGTTTAGATGTTAGGAAAGCTGAGATATATCTTCAGTTTCTTTCTAGTATATATTAGGAGATATCTGAGAAAGGACCAAAATAAAGTGAGAAAATGTTTTAAATGAAATAGAAGTTTACACAAAAATCTCATTATATTTTTAGAACTGATAGCAGAAAAATTCAGTATTGTTAGGGGTTTAGTGTAGAGTTTTGTGCATGAATCCCTTCTTCCCATTCAGGAGTCTGAGAAGGGATCATCAACTTAAGTGCCTACAAGAATCAGAAGGTAAGAAAAAGAAAAAAGGGGGCCATATATAAGCATAATATACATACTCTCCAGGAAGGGCCCATATATAGAGAAACATAGGTACAGCTAGGTGCTTATTCACTCTAAACACTTTAAAACAATTGTAGGAGGTATATAGTAGTCGACCTGCCAGTCAGGGAGGTAATATAGATTACTGGGTATGTAGGTAATTGAAGAGTATTTGTTTCTTTAAAAAGGGAGTGGCCTCTACTTAGCTCCATCTTCATTTTGTCATTGATTTAGCCACATTGTTGGCACATAGTTGTTATTAAGAAAAATCTAAAAATTCAGATTTTATATAATTTTTTATTTATTATATGGTTTAAACTTTAAAAAAGAAAAAGAAAGAAAGCAAAATACACAAACACATATTCAACCTGAGGTCCACTAGTTTGTACGTTCAGAACTACAATATCCACCCAAAGAATGTAAGTCCAAATGCAGATTCAAATGTCCCTGGCAATCCTAGATAAGAGAAAAGAGAAGCAAATAATAAGAGATGTTTATTCCCTTTCTAAATTGAAAATATCTGAAACCTCACAATAGGACTGATCCAACCTAACAGTCCTCTGAAAATAGTGTGCCTTCCATTTACTCTGTAGAGGTTTCCTGTCTGGTGGGTCTACCGTAAGGAAATTAGAAGCACAATCTACCCCTCCTGAACAGAAACAGACTAGAAAGAGCTAAAACTATACCACACAGGAGCCATCAATATATTAGTCTAAGCTACTAGTGAGCTATGGCCCAATAAGTGTCAGGCTTTCCCAATCTCTTATTGTGAATGAGGGGTGGAGAAAAAACCCGCAAGTTTTATCTCCGTACTTCTCTTAGAGAGAAAAGCATATCCCTTCTCTGATGAAACAAAAAACTGTTAGGTCCTTTTCCTGTTAAAACAAACAAACAAACAAAAAAGATGAAATAATAAGGACCCTCCAGAGTAAATGTTACTAATCATGGAACTTCTAATGAAAAATGACAGGTCACTCTACCTAAATATCCAGCAGGAAATGATTGAAGCACATCCCATGTTTTATGCTGTATTCCTTCTTGAAGAGATTAATCCATCTTTGATGTGTGTTCAAGGATCTTCACTTGGAAGGCAGCAGTTTCTCTCCAAATCTGGTAATAGTGGGTAATGAAAGTCACTCCTAAGAAGGAAGAGAATGTTTTTATCCATAATCAGTCTTATTCCTGAACTAGTGACCCAGTATACGAAATTTGTGCACTGGTAGAGTCCTTAACAGCTCCAAATCTGGTAATAGTGGGTAATGAAAGTCACTCCATATCCTAAGAAGGAAGAGAATGTTTTTATTCATAATCAGTCTTATTCCTGAACTAGAGACCCAGTACACGAAATTTGTGCACTGATAGAGTCCTTAACAGCTGCCGGCTGCTGGCCAGGGCCTCCCTCCCTTCCCCCGGCTGGCCCTGCCCCCTGGTCGAACTCCTGGATGAACTTCTGGTCATAGGGACAATTTGCATACTATGCTTTTATTATATAGGATTATTTTTTAGTGAAGAAAAATAAATGAAAGGACTCTTGACAGAGGTATGAAAATGAAACATGAGCTCTTATGACCAAGTAGTGAGATAATTGTGGTGTTCTCAGTATAAGTACAGTGTAAGCAGTATAAAGTCATGCTTTTTGGCATTAACTATACAGGGATCAAAAAGATAATAGATCATACTTGTATTGCATAAACAAAGGCCAGAAGGTTGTTATTAGTACCTGACCCAACATTCTACAATTGAATGGAATATTCAGTGCCATATATTTCAGTGAGGCAAATGGTAATAAAATAAAATTTCCTCAATGGTCATGTATATTCATAATTGAAATAGGATTGTAAATTAAATGGATATTATTTACATAGAAATATTACCTATTTAGGAGCACAAGTTTTCAGTCAAGTAGAGATGAATGTGAGTTCTGCTTCTCTCCTAACAGTTTGACCATGGGCTATCTGGACCTTTTCTCCTGCCAGTTAAAAAGAAGATAATATTGTTAACCTTACTGGGATTTGTGGGCATTAAAATATAATGCATGTAAGTGCTTAGCACAGTACCTGGCACATTGTAATTGCTTAGTAAGTATTGGCCTTTACCCCTAGTAAAAACACCTTCATGGCTGCATAAACTTACCTTTGCATGATAATTTATGGCTTAAAAATTGATTTTACATACATCACTATTTTTTTACTCTAACAAAATGCACAAAAGCAGTACAAAACAGGAACTTATTATCCAAATTAAGTGATTTTTCTAATGACAGCCAATTAGTGACAGGGTTGGTCTTCTAATCTAAGCATATTACACCTCATCCGGTGTTAATTCTAGAATTATTCCTGTAAGATTCAAATGGAAGTATTTCTATCACAAAGTCACCTAATTAGAACTAGTTAATCTGAACTATTATGCATTCAGATCAAAATGGCAGTTAATGTAAACCCACACACAAAATGTCATATTAATTTTCTGATTTGTTATCTGGCCCTGTCATATTAGGTTTTATATAATTCAATTTTTAAAGATTGTAACATTTGTTTAAGCAATTTAAAAGTAGAGTCATTTTTTTGTGTGTATCTTCTGGGATCTATGATCATGATATATAACTTTTATCCCAAAATAAATAATTTGTATTTCTCTTAAGGGAAAATAAAAATATGTTCATCATTTTTCTTAAAAAGCAAATTTAATATTTTAGCAGCTGTGATTTACCCTGTGAGTTTCAGTTATCTTCTCTTACAACTAGTAAAAACTATAGTAATAGTATATCCTTTTCCAGTGTGAAGAGTTGAAGAAGTTGATAAAACTAATGTTCCTGAACTAATGTTCATGCCAAACTCAGGAATTATAAATTGGACTAATCATAAAACTATGCACAGAAGGACAAATAATCCCTTTGGCAATGGTTTCAAACTTTCATGTGTCTAAGAATCATTTGGGGGTATCTTACAATGAAGACCCCAGGGCAAGCCTCTCTCTCAGAAGGGCTGATTTATTAGTTACTGGAGATTGTCTAGAAGTTCAAATTTAATATTATGTGCTTGATAATTTAGATAAGGTATTCCATGGGTCACACTTCTACTTCTGAGAAGTCTTTCAAACTTTTCTCCCTTTTTAAAATATTATTATTCACATTATAAGAGAATAAATGCTTTATTTGAGTCTGGTCCAAGGCTTCTTAAAGTGTATTCTATTATGCATCCACATCAGATCCATTTTGGGCTTATACTGAAATGCATATTTATTCACCCCATGAAAGATTAACTAAATGATAATCTCTAGAGTGGGGCAGATTTGCACTAGAAATTAACTTCCCAGGTGATTCTAATGCATAAAAAGTTTAAGAACCATTAATTTTTATTTCTCTTTAACTCCTCTTTTACCCTTGTAGGCTCTGATTTTCTCCAGCCAAGGAGGACTACGAATCATCCCTTTAACAAGGTTTTTACAGGCAATAGATGAAAATGTAGGGCATGTGTAGCCCTTGGAATTGCTTCAGCACAAGGAGACAGTTGGATAAAGAGTGCTTAATAGAGTGCATTTTTAATATATGGAACATCAAACACTGAATTCTGGAACCTGGTAGAATTATAATCATCATATGTGTTACTCAGAATCAGATAAGCTATCTTATACTAACAAAGAACCCCAATATTTCAGTAGCTACATATAACAAAACATTTGTTTTTATGCTACATGTCCAGCATATGGGGATTACTTTTCTGTAGCTTTGCCATCTGAAATGTGTGGCTTCCTGCTATTCTTTGCTTCAGCCTAAATATTACACTTATTAGTCTCACTTGCAATTAATTCATTGCCCAAAACCATCTATGAGTACTAATCTAGTCGTAGAGAAAGCTGGAAAATGCAGCTTTCCTATGCTGCTAGGAAGAGAAAATTGAACTAGAACTTGGAATACACAGTATTGTCTTTTTCTAAGAATAATATATTAAGATTGCCTGAAGTGGCAAGAGACATTCAAACAGAGATATGTCACATATTCTATATAATAAATAGGTAATATGCAAATTGACCATCACTCCAACACACAAGATGGCCACCCCCATGTGGTCAAAGATGGCCGCCACAAGATGGCCAGCAGGAGAGGGCAGTTGTGGGCGATCAGGCCTACAGGGGAGGGCAGTTGGGGGCAACCAGGCCTGCGGGGGAGTGCAGTTAGGGGAGAACAGGCTGGTGGGAGGGCAGTTGGGGGCAACCAGGCCTGCAGGGGAGTTCAGTTAGGGGAGAACAGCCTGGTAAGGGAGGGCAGTTAGGGCAATCAGGTCGGCAGGGGAGCAGTTAGGTGTCAATCAGGCTGGCAGGGGAGTAGTTAGGGGGTGATCAGGATGGCAGGCAGAAGCATTTAGGGGTGATCAGGCAAGCAGGCAGGCGAGTGGTTAGGAGCCAGCCATCCTGGATTGTGAGAAGGATGTCTGACTGCCTGTTTAGGCCAGATCCCAGTGGGCAGTTGGACATCCCTCGAGGGGTCCCAGATTGGAGAGGGTGCAGGCTGGGCTGAGGGACACACACTCCCAGCCCCATTCACGAATTTCGTGCACTGGGCCTCTAGTTTTGATAATAAAGGAATAGAAGAACTTTGCTGCCAACAACCCATTTCAGTTTGCCAAAAGTCTCAAATTATGTAGTTGAGGAAGAAGAATAAAAAGAGTGTACAGAGAAGAGTAGACCTTGTATATAAATATTCCCTAAAGAAAAGTTGTTGAAAAAATGCATACTAATAATAACAGTTTCTGGTTAAGAGGAAGCATTTTTAAAAATTAGAATGTTTCTATATTCAGTTCATTTCCAATCAGTTACTGTAGTTCGTTCTCTAAGAAAAGTAATGCTCAAACTATCTGCCAATGAGCCATTTTATTTTTGAATATCCAGGGAGCCTCAGAAGAATTATAGACATTTAGAACACAGCAGAGCATGTAACACACTCATTAGAAAGTATCACTTGATCCATTTATCTGAAGAGCTAAATAGGAAACTCAAACTGAACATGCTAAAAGTCAGATGAAGAACAAGATGAGTGCTGGTGTGGGTATTATGAAGTCCACTGCTATCTATGCATCTGCTCTCTTTATTATTTGAATTCTATGTTTATATTAAAGATTTGAGTTTTTGTATGACTTCTTTAATGTTGTGCAGTATAATTTGATCATGAGGAAAAACTCTCTTTGGGTTGGTGAAGATCGGTGCTTAAGGAACCATGATCTATGTTAATAAGTTTTAATGCTGAACAAAGAAAAAATGTTATTCCTAATGTAGCGATGAGATAATTAACACACTCAAAATTCTCTAGAGAATAATTTACAAAGTTTTTACCTTCGGCTACTCAAAACATTGAAAAATATTTAAATGGGAAGACTAACTCTTTGAAATGGACTACTAGTAAAAAATCAGAAAGATTACAAATAAACTGAACTCAGATAGCTATTTTTATCTGCTCAAGGTGATAGGAATTTCAATACTCCATTGCTTTATTGGAAGAAAAAAGAACAAAATCAAATATGATATGTGTTTATTTTTCATTTAAGACACAAAGATATTCATAATAACTTATTGATTTTCTATTGCCAAAAACTGTGCCCATACTTGCAATTAATTTATAATTTAGTACCATGTTTTGAAACATCTTTCACAAGTTGTTCTTAACCAGAATTGGACATCATCTTTTAAAATGTTGCACATATTTGGGGCACACTCCAGATTATTAAATCTCCCCAAATGATTCAGATGTGTAATCTTGTAAAGAATAACTGCCTTAAGTACCCTTATAATATTTGCAAATGCTTCAATGAAAAGTCAAAGATGTATTGTAAATTTGGAGGGAAAAAGTAAAAACAAGTTCTAGACTTTTTTTATAAAGTGAAAAACTTAAAACTCATTGTCAAATACTGGTATTTGAGTTCTTTATTTTTACATCTTATTATAAAATTATTTAGTCTATACAAATAATAGCTTAGGGCTGTCATGACCAGGACGGACTACCGAACAATGGGCCCCTGGCCGCCAAGGCATGCAGGCGGAAAGGGTTTGTGGGCTCTGGGCATTTGAGGTGCGGTGGTGGTGGTGGTGGTGGCGGCGGCGGCGGTGGCAGCGGCTGTGGCGAGAAGGGTCTTTAACCTCGGGCCACTGAGGCATGCAGGTGGGAAGGGTCTGTGGGCTCTGGGCCTCTGGTGCGTGGCAGCGGGAGAGATCTGTGGGCTCTGGGCCGCTGGGGTGTAGTGGCAAGAAGGGCCTGTGGGTCCCGGGCCGCCAGGGTGCTGCAGAACCTTGGGTCTCACGCTTTCGGAGGTGTGGCCAGCCTTCAAACTAGACCATGACAAGAGGGAAGAGGGAGCCCTATTCCTCACAGAATCCACTGTTGGGAGGAAGGAGCCTTCCTGCTTGATCGCCCCTAACACTCTGCCTGCCTGCCTGCCCAAGGGTTCGCGGATTGCAAGAGGGTGTAGGCCAGGCTGAGGGAAACCCCTCCCCATGCATAAATTTTATACAGCGGGCCTCTAGTATATGATAAAAACAAAATACAGATAGTAATATTATAAAAATAATGTAGTTACTCAGTTGGCTAGCCAAAGGATACTACAATAGTATTTATTACATCCATGTTATCAGTCATTTAAAATAGGATAAAGTGTTAAAGGTATAACAATTTGGCTGTACACAAAGACAATTAGATGATTTTTTAGAAGAACCAAAAGAAAAAAAAAGGAGAATAAAAAAGCCCATTTACTAATTTACAAACCTCAGTAATGTAAAAGAGAAAGAAGGCGTGTAAAAATTCTCAAATATTAGACTGTACAGCTAAAATGTGGGTGAGTGCCAGAGTTTGGGAATAAAATAGTATGATTCTTTCTATTATAAAGACTCTTAATATAGTGAGAAAATATTATATTAGGGCCAGAATACCTGAATTGGAGTATCAGTTCTTTTATTTACTGTGTAACTTTCAATCAGACATTTTTGCTCTCAAGTTCTCAATTTCTTCATCTATAAAATAGGAATAATATAATATCTACCTCATTGGTTTGTTATAAGGGTAAAATTATATAATAAATGTGAAACTATAAAATCTGTAAATTAAATGTTTGGCAGTGGTATCATTAATATTATTTTTATTTTATCAAAGAAAGCCAGAGGGGAAAGATGAGGACCAAGAGAAATACCTTAGCTTACTGAGGTAATAATTTCTAGATCATCTGATCTAACAGCAATTTTTTATAACCTAAACATTAAGAAATAAATAATACAATTTCATATGACTCTAAAGGCTAAAGATTAAAATAAAATCATATACTCTAAAAGAGTAAAAAGTAGAAAAATAACTGTTTTTGTTTTGTATTGCCATATAACAAATTACCCCATAGCAGCTTAAAACAAGCACTGAATACTTCACATTTTCTGTGAATCAGAAATTTGGAAGAGACTTAGTTGGGTAGTTCTGGTTTAGAGTTACTCTTGGGGTTGCTATCAAACTGTTGGCCAGGGCTGCAGTTATCTGAAGGCTTGACTGGGCCTATAGTATCCATTCCATGTGCAGGCACCTGGAGGTTGGTAGGAACTCTCAATCCCTTGTCGTATAGACCTGTCAATAGGGCTACTTGAGTATCTCATAATATATTAGTTGTCTCTTCCCAGAGTAGGAGAGAGAGAGAGAGAGAGAGAGAGAGAAATGGAAGCCTCCATGTCCTGTATAGCCTAGTCTCCAAAGTCACATATCATTACTTGTGCAAATATTCTATTGGATGTTTGGCTCTATATTTTGAATGGAGAAGTAGCAAATAATTTGTGGACATCCTTTAAAGCCAGCACTGTAACATAGACAGCCAGTTACAGTAGGCCCTCCATATCTGCAGGTTCTTCATCCACAGATTCAATCAACTGTCATAGTAAACATTCAGAGGAAAGTAAAGCTGCATTGATGATGTGTACTATGCAGTTAAGCCTATGATGGTTATGTCTGTATTGATCATGTACAGATTTATTTTCCTGTCATTATTCCATAGACAATACAGTATAACAACTATTTACATAGCATTTACATTGTATTAGATAATATAAGAAGTCCAGAAATGATTTAAAGTATACAGGAAGATGTGCATAGTTTATATGCAAATACTACACCATTTTATATAAGGGACTTGAGCATCTGTGGATTTCATTATCTGCAGGGGTTCTGGAACTAATCTCCCTCGGATACAGAGGGACAACTGTATTTTTCAGTTGAATAAACTGAGGTCCAGAAAAGAAAAGTAAGTGGTTTTTAACCTTCCTAACTTCATCTCTAACCTGGTAAGCTAACTTGCTACAGTGGCACCACAACTCAAAGGAGAGCTAACTGTCTTGTTTTGGCTAGAAATGTCTTCTTCCTGGTGAAAGATTATAGAATTACAAAGTATTACATCATCCACAATCCTAGTATCTCTCTGTCTGTGTCTGTTTCTCTTTTAATTCCCCTCCTACTCCCTGCTCCCCTCATCCTGTTATACTGAGCAATGGGGCAAACAGATCTGAAAACTGCAAATGGATGGGATAAATGGAGCTGGACAGCCACATTTCCGTTCTGGGGGTTGAGTATTGAAATAGAACTTTTATTCTGGGTTCACCTATAAAGAGATTGGAAGTGTCTGTTTAATTTCAAAAAGTAGCTACTGTGAGAGAAAGGATGAATAGGCAACTGCTTTCTCTGGAGTCACAAATTTTGTGCACCGGGCCTCTAGTGGTTATAATTTAATCATCAAGTCATTTCTCCTGGACATCTCAGACTTCTGAGACCTCAAAATGGGTAGAGTTGAACTAGAAATTCTGTAAGATGTTATAATTCTATTTACTATAATTCTATTCCTCTTTGGTTCATCTTTGCCCTTCCACTCAGATACACACCAACATCCAGATTCTAGGAACATAGGAAGAACTTCTAAAAGGTGCAATACTTCTACTCAGGACTCATAAGTGATGCTTTTGTCTGTTTATACCTAGTTCTTGTAGCATGCATTTCTTACTTCTAGAGCTAACAGCTAACTTCTGTTCTCCCGTATCTGTTTTCTGT